GGGCAAGCCTCACCCACAGACCCTCCTTCAACTCTGCTTGATGTTCTGACAGCCTGTGAGGTGGCCCAGGGAGTCCCATGCGTGGAGATGAGCTGTAACAGAGGAGTTTCCAGAGGGCTTTTGGTTTTTTTTATTTTTCTAACTCCTGAGGAAAAGCAGAAACTCAGACAAACTCAGATGTGCAGGTGATATCTGTGTGTTCTTTAAAGTTAGCTCTGAACTTTTAAAACCCATGAAGGGCCAACAAAATAAGTCTCTGTGCAGGATACCTTAGACAGGAAGGTGTTATTATTTTTGAGTGAGAGAAGATGGGGTCAGCTGTTTTGTGAGAAACTAAAATGAGGGCAGGAAAAGAGAAGGTTACCAGAAAAAAGCTCAGCAGGTGCTGCTGTGGGCACTGCTGCTGTGGGCACAGACAGTTTGAATCAAGGGTTCATTATCTTCACATGTACAGTCCTTACAGCATAAGGATTCATAAGGTGTCACTTACTTTCTGAACCACCTCTGGACTTGGAATTCAAGGGCACTGTAGTATCTAGCCTCCTGGACTCCCATTTTAGATAGGATTAAGCCCCGATTTCAAAGCTAAAAAGATTCACTTACCATTCACTTACCGTGTTCAACTAGGACCCACACCAGGAACAAAACTGACTTCACTCCTCCCACTTGAGGTCAATACAGGAAGTGCCCTCCGGGGCTTTCCAAACAGTCCCTCCCTGGAGTCTTCTCAGAATCACGCAGGGATCTCTGGGAAATGTAGTTGTGAGGCCTTAGGTTGTCCTTGTGTGCCTCCTCTTCAAATCTTCGAAGAAGGGTGGAGGGCTACATTATCTGATAGGCCTCACGTCACACAGGCGGTGAGGGGTATGATCTTGTATTTGACACAGTCCTTGCCTTAGGGAGCCTGAAGCCAGATGTCCTAGGTCCAATGTGGGAAGTGAGGGTTTACTGTGGTCCCGGAAGAGCAGATCCATTAAACTAGAACAGTCAGGGAGAAAAAATAAAGATCTTAAATTACTCTCCCAAATGTATGATACCGTTTCTTCATCAGTCTCCATGAAGCTACTTTGTTTTTATTCTTCTGCCAGTCATCCCCCATCCTCAGTACCACTCACCACTCCCCGCCCTCCAAGGCCCTATGGAATGTGTCCAAAATTAGTCAATATAGGGTGTGATGTGTGTATCCACAGTAATGGGGTGTTTCTGCTTGTGTTTTTAACTCACATTAATGATATTGCTCTATAACTCTTGCTGTTTCTTACGCATTTCCCCTAGGCTGTGTCTTAAAGCCTGTCTACATGACACAGTTGTTGCCTCTTTTTGGCACTAATGGTTCTAGTCCCTAGCTCTGGTATCCTGCTGCACGGATTTGGGAGGCCTTTCTCTTGGCCTGTGCGTGGGCAGGCTAGATGGAGATGCAACGTAGTGCCCTGGGACCACCACTCAGCCCAGGATGATGGCAGTTGAAGGATAAATACCCTCAAGTTCTACCTGCTCAGGTGGGATTACTCTGGGGCACAAACAACACTGTCTCCCAATGTCCTCCAGTGAGATTAAGTTCTTATTATTCATTGAGGTCACCTGACAATATGTATACTTTACTGACTCCCAAAATGCCTCTGACTCTGCCTTTCCCACTCCATGTTGGTGCTTCCTTAAATCACCTCCCAAAGAAGCTACTGAAGTGCAGACCCTCATCTCAGGGTCTGGTTTTGGAGGAAACCAATCAAGTTCATTTACTTACCAGTACCACTGGTGAAGCACAATTAGGTGCCCTCAACTCCCAGTTCCTACAACACCAGTGTCATGAATACCTTCCTTCACATGCCCTACAGGTGGACATGGAACTTTACATGGACATACACCAGGAATGAGATATGCTGGGGACAGGGCATATGTGTGCTTAATTTCACTGAGCATTATTGTCCTTTTGTGTAGAGTCCCATTTTCCTCATATCCTGATTGACACTTTCTGTTAGCAACCTTCTCATGTCTGCCCATCTTACGTATCTAAGATGGTAGCTCAGTGATGTTTTAATTTGCACTTCTCTGATTACTGGTGAGTTTGCACAGCTCTTCACGTTCCTACTGACCCTTCAGGTTTCTTGTTTGTGAAGTAAATGGCAAGGTGTTGAAGACACACCCCTCTGTTGTCACCAGGACTCAGCAGCAATGAAGGATAGATGGCAGAGCCAAACTTGTAAAACATTGCTCAGAAGGACACAATCCCATAATGTAGCTTTGGGGCTGGACTATTCTGGCACAAAGTGAAATGAAATGAAACAGATTGTTCAATCAAGTATGACTCTTGTCCCCCTGATCCTGGGAACTTTGACCCATGAGAATCTCCAGCAAGAACTGTCCCAGGAATCTGAGTCATGAGGTCATGAGTCATGAGGTCCAGGTATGGATCCTGGTATCTGAGGGCAGTAAAAGCTGGGATGATAGGGCAGAGATTTCTGTGAGCTTGAGAATGTTCTCCTGCCTCCAGCAGAGTGGTCATCCAAACGTTCAAGCAAAATCTCACTCCTTCCTATGTTTTCTTCATGGAAGGAGAGCAAAACAGGGAAATACTGTATATGAACTGACACCTAGCACTCTCCTCACCATAGGGACAGAGATGCAGAGGTGGCTGGCAGTGGTAATGAGGATAACACGAAGGAAGGCTCCATCTTCACCCTGACACAGGCAATTTGAAAGAATGCTGATTGTGTTTTAAAAAAAATAAGCACTAGAATTAGTATGTAAAGATTCTACTCTGAGTTAATTTTACTCGCATACTTTTTTTTCCTTGCCAAAGAACCTACATTTATTTTTGTAAAGGCGTAAGGAAGGAAAGAAATGCTTGCTTTTCTCTGACCTCATCTGAAAAAGGTATCATGGTGGACACTGGCTCTAAGTAGAAATTTTATTCATAAGTGATTTTTTGTCATATTTTCTGTTTTCCCTGTATGTATAAGTATGGTTTCATATTACTGACATTTGGATAAAATTATTATTATTATTTTTAATAGTGTGCAGTAAGTCAGAATCTAGGTATAATTTTCATCTTGAAACTGTGTTCTCCAAGTGGAAATTAAAAATACTTACTTGGGAAATAGAAAAGTGCTGAAATGTCTATTTGTAGATGAGTTTAAGGAGCAATTTCTTGCATAAATAGTTGATCTATTCTGGTGAATGCTTTGAATAATTTTGTGTCATTTCCAGAATGACCTGAGTTTCTTGGGTTTTAACTAAAATGTTCAAAGAAATTGTTAAATAATATTTCTACTGCAGACATGATTTTGTTTAGGGGACATGACCACAGTGATCTTGATCAAGGGGGAAGGGCACATAATAAGAACAAAGCCACGGTTGTTTAATAATTGCTCACCTTACTAAATATAGATAAGTGGTTTTCTTACAGACCCTGGGAAACTGGAGGATGAAACAAAGTCGTAAAAAGATAAGATGCCTCAATGGACCCATTATTCATAAAAGAAATACACTTTGAGAACAGACCAAGGACAGAACACACTTTTGATTTAGTTGCTGTGCTGGGACCCTACCGGCCTGTAAGAGTTTGCCTCAGGAACAGGCTGAGCTTTTATAACATCATAGAAGATTAGCCACCTTGTTATTGGACTTTGAACTCCTGAAGGCCCAACCACAGACCCTACCCTCTGCTTTCTCTGTTACCTTTGCAGCTCACAGCTGCACATAGCTATCTTCTCCCTCAAGCTTATACAATATAATCAGCCAACTGGCGGGAGGCTGCAGGGATGGAGGTGGGGGTAGAGGGGGTAGGGGGATGGGGTGGAGTGGGGGGGGGGTGGTCAGAGCAGAATTCCCAGGGTGACTGACTGCTCTCTCCATACTACCAGTTTTACTGGAATAAACACTCATGTATGATTCAACCCTGTCTTTGCTCTGGCTGTAACATGGGGAAGAGAAAGGTCCATGGAGAAATGTCTGAAAATGCTCCTTTGGAGACACTTTCTTTTTATCTACCAGTGTTTAAACAATATGACTATATAAGCCTCAAACTTCTGTTTCTCTTTATGAGTGACCATAAGTCCTCATCGTATGGTCACTGGACATTCATGCACCTAGTACCCAACAGGATAAGGAGATGTACGTTTCAGGTCATTTATGACCACCACAGTCATTATAGCTGACATATCCGGAGTGTTTTCAGTGCCAGGCATTTTTTAAAGCACTTTACCTTATTTATCTCATTGCATGCTCAGTAACAATCCTTTGATGGAAGTCTTCTTCTTCCCACTGTACAGGCAAGTTGGAGCCCAGAGTGGTTAACAACTTGCTCATGATCACCTAATTAGGAAGTGGCAGAGCGGGGATTTCCTCACACAGTATGCCTCCCAACCATGTTTGGAACCACTCTAAGTGACTAACTCTAGAGCTGGCAGATATCAGAGTTTCCTGAAATTACCAGGCTCCTTGGTTGGCTGCAATCATTGAACAAGAATAGGTCCAAATCTTTGTTGTTCTCAGCCAAGTTCTTGAGATGGTTGAGAACAGTGTGATTTGGCAAGTCTGAGGTCCTTGATAATGATCTGGACCCAGTCTATGGATGTCCGGGTCCATAACCTTCCTTTGACCTGCTGTTTTAAAGCAATACATGCACTCTTTACTTAATAATGAGATCTTGGATGGTTGGGTTTTTGAGTAGGATGACTATGCTTCTCTGCCTGGGGCAGTCCTGCTTTATACCTGTTATCCTGGCACAATAATTTGCGGTTTTCCCTTTCATTCTCAGAAGAGTCCTGCTTTGAGCAATAAAATGATCATTTTACTTAGATACAGACTTTACTGAAATATTATCCAGTTCTTCCCCTAATTCTCATTTTCCCCATGTCATAACAATTCTTTATTTTTTGAAATCCAATTTATATTGATAAAAATATAATTTTAATTATATATATATTTATTTATCATATTTATTTAACATATCAAGTTAAGGTATATGAAGCCATCTACTGAAACAGATAGACAAACACTGAAAATTTCAGGAAGAGTTTATTTTTCACCCATATTACATTACATCCCATGTTGTACCCCACAGCTGTTCAGGGACCCAAGATCTATTCATCTGTGGCCCCACTTTCTCTATGTCTTCAGTGTCTTTTCCCTCTTCTACCTCACCTACCTCCTACCCCTCTAGAAATCACCATGCTGTGGTCTTTGTCTATAAGTTTTGTTGTTGTTTTTGCTTAACCCCTTCACCTTTTTCACCCAACACTAACCCTCCACCCTTTCATATGGTTTTGATTTGCATTTTTCTAATAACTAGTGAATTTGAGCATTTTTTTTTTATACATCTGTTGGCCATTTTTATGTCTTCTTGGAAGAAGTGCTTATTCAGGTCCTCTACTCATTTTCTAAAATTTAACTTTATTGTTCTAAGTATTTTTAATTAGATTTTTTGGTTCTTGAGTTGTATAAGGTATTTATATATTGTAGTTTGGATATAAGCCACTTATCAGAGGTATTGTTGGAAAATATCTTCTCCCATTAGATTGGTTGCCTGTTTTGTTGATGGTTTCTTTCACTGTACAGAAGCCTTTTAGTTTGGTGTAGTCCCATTCATTTACTTTTACTTCCCTTTCTTTTGGGGACTGATCCATTTTATTACTGATTACTCTAAATGGTAAAAAAAGTTGCACTATGTTTGGGCACAAACTTTTTCTCCAAGGAAATATTAAATATCTTTTTCAGCTCTTCCTGTACTTCTTCCATATTCAGTGTCTTAAACTCCACCAGATCCATGTTGTCCTTGTAACTGAATCTTCGATGCATGAGAGTAAAACCCACTAAGCAGTAAACTCCATCTGGGGTATGAATGACACAATAAGAATCTTTTACACACGCAGATGCTGGAGATGTCTGAAAGTATGAATTCGGAGACTCAAAATCTTCAATTGTTTGAGGTTCAAGCGTAAAGTAGTAGATCTTTCTGTACTTTTTCTTTTCCAGGAGCTCAGAATTAAGGAATTCTTGGTTTGGAACATACTGCTCTCTTCTGATTTGGTCCAGATACCAGGTTCCTCCCTCTTCTGTTAAGCGGAAGATGCAAGGCACCTGAGGCTGATCCTTCCCAGAAATTAACTCGAGAGGCTGCCTCATCTGGAAAGAGCTCCCATACCCAGCATCAACTATGTATTTCCTGCCACACAGGGTCACCATCACCAGGGGGTGCATGACAGCCCTGCCGTATCTTTCAGCCGTAACGTTGTAAACATAGCTTCCCAGCATTGTGGTCTCAAAACCCATTGTGGTGAGAGCCCAGTGCAGAATTTGGTTGATCTGGAGACACCACCCACCGCGTTTCTTCCTCACAATTTGATCAAAAACGGCCTCCAAGCCCAATTCCATGGGTTCCCCACAATGGATGTTAAGGTTGTCAAAGGGAATGGTCTGGACCTGGTGCTGAAGAATGTCAGTTAATGTTTCCAGGTCCAATTTGTTTCTAGAGTTCTTATAACCAATTCTTTCAAAATATGCTTCGATGTCCATGATCCCCTAGAAAACAAGAACACATACTGTTATATTTGCAGTTGGATTTCCTTAAGAAGGTTAATTATAGTCATGTATTTTAAGTATATACAGACAAATACTAAAGTTAAAATGGTTATAAACATCTCTAGTTATAATACTTTTAAAGATTTTAATATTTATTTTTAAATAAAATTTTTTTCATTATTGTGTTATTTTTGACATATAACATATGTGAGTTTAAGGTGTGCAATGTGATGATTAAGTACATTTATACTGCAAAGTGATTACCATAATAAGATTAGCTAACACCATTTTGTAACCTTTTTTTTTTTTCTGGTGTTGGTGATTACATTTATTATATGCTCTCTTACCAACTTCCTTTTTATTTCTTTTTGTATATAATACTAGAGGCCTGGTGCATAAAAATTTCTTGCCTTGGAGGTGGGCGGTCCCCAAGCCCTGCCTGCCCCCCTCTCACCGTCCAGGAGCAACTCAGGGGATGTCCTACGGGGATCAGGACTAAGCCACAGTCTGGCCTCCCCTCTGCAGGAAGCAACTGGAAAACCAGGGGAAGGTAACACCTTCATCACACCACTGCTGCTCCCACTGAGGCTCAGGCAGCCATGGCGGCCGACAGGGTAAACATACTTAGGGAGCCCACTGAAATGCCTCAGAAAAGCACTTAATATATGTGTAAGGAAGTTAGATGTAGAATAATTTTTTGTTTTAATTCAGAAGACTTAGAATGTTTCTTCTTCTCGGTCTAAACTCTAGAAATAATGGGGGGGGGGGATTGGGTGGGGATGAAGAAAACTACTTGGGTATTGGCAGAAAACAAACTCTTTAGAAGGGAGAGACATCTATCAGGATGGCATCAGAATATTTCACAGTAATATGTTTCCAAGTTAAGAGAAAAGTCTGATCCCCAAAAATTATTCTCAGCTACTATTTCATTTCATCACAAAGGTATCATGAATATGAAGATAATCTCAAAGATGAAAGAACTTGAGGAATGAATGTATGAAGAACAACCCAAATAAAGTGTTACCTCCTAATTGGCCAATGAAGTGGAAATCAAAATGAAAAAAAGAAAGAGTTAGGCCACAGCAAAAGACTAATGGGCAATATTGGCTCCTTTTATTACAAAACTAAGAGTAGAAAAGTTATGAGAATTATGGGTATTGAATGAAACAGTTTTATGGAAATAGAAAAAAATGTTTATTTGAACAAAAATATATAGTAAAAGTTGACTCTTTTTTTTTTATTAAAGTTCATTTAAAATGTCATTTCTGCACATTAGAGAAATATTTTCAAAAGTATGTCCTATGCTACAGAAACATTTTTAAGTCCTTATGATACGCTAAAAAATTCCAAATTCTTTGAAGAGAAAACATTTTCCTAATTTCAACACTAAGAAAGAATTATAATCAAAATTATTTCTGGTCTTTATCTGTGCCATTTAATAGAGTTGAAAAATGTTTATAATGTTTTATTCTTTATTTTTCTCTCAATGCTAGAACGTATGTTTTTATAACATGTAATTACAATTATCTGTGCTGATTAACTTTCCCCTAAAGATGTTAAAAAGCTTTTAGAAATAAAAATACAAGTGTAAAAAACAATCAATTAATAGTAATTACTATTTTTTAAATACGATTCTCTAGGGTCAAATCTAAGAATTTGATATCTATACTTATATTTAATTCTGAGAAGAGGAAGTTGTAAGTTTATGGATTTAAATTATTTCCCCAAGATTACTCATTTATCTAGTATTTAAACTCAGATCTTTGAAGTTGCCAAGCCAGACATGATGTTGTATATTAATCTTAGTTAAAGGTTATGATTTAGTAAATGGAAATGTGGCTATGTACGTGATATGATTAAAGTAGGAGTCTAAGCAGATGACCTGAATCAATAAGATAGATGTTATAGGGAACCAATATCTGAGATCAATGTTGAGTATATCTCAGGAAAGAAGAAAGACCCAGGAGTGACTCACCAAAAACAAAAATTACATGTGAAAATCAAAGATACCAAATTTCTAGGAAAATTTGATCAAGCCTGCTTACCACTGGAACATCATCTGGTTAAATGACTGAACTGGAAAGGCAGGAAGCATCCAGTATAATAACTGGGGAAGAGTGGAGCCTGAAGGGAGTTGGAGAGGGTATTCTCTAAAGTAAATGAAACCCATTAGACCTACTGGCCTCCACCTCATAGAGAGGGGGTATGAATAGAGCATGCTCAGTGTACCTAGAGGGGGCAGTTAGGATTGATGAGGATTCAGGACTGAGGTTACTATGAGTAGAATTCTGTTTGTACCACCTAGGTCCCTTCAGATGTCTTTTACCATTTCACTGTGCCTCTGGAATGGCTTCTGTGTCCTCATGCTTAAGGACCTGTACCCTAGCCTCTCTTTGGAGGACCTCTTAAGAACTCCTGGAGTTGCTTTTCCTTCCTATGCAGACAGCTGGCAAGCCAGAGAATTCCTATCCTGCCAGAGCAGCTTTGAGTAAATGAGTTTCTGGATCAAGGTATTGTAACCTTGCATAGTGTCTGGCAAAGTCTAAGATATAATTCATAGCCACACTGAAACTCAAGCTGAAGCTGAGGATTTTTCTGAATCTCATACATGCTAGGATTCTTCCTCTATCCAGTCTTACTTTTCCAATACTTAATTGGTTATTCCCAGAAGCACTTCCGTAATAAATTACTTGCACATAAATCCTTATCTGTCTGAATCTTGGGAACATGACTGAGACACTTGAGTGGTGCATTTTGGAAAGTGGTGTGGAAGGTCAGATAAACAGAATCAGGCCAATTTCAGAGGGCCTCGCATGTCAGACAAAAGAGTGACCTCTTTTTGTGGATGCAGAAATGCCTGTCGTTTTGTTGAATGGTCGGTATTGAAGTTGGACCCACTGTTTGATATATCCCTCTGGGATATTGCAAATCACCCTCTTGGGTATATCTCTGCAGAGCAGATTCATATGCAGAACTGACTTGTTCCCCATCTCTAGAATCCTTTCTCATACAACAGCAATTTTCAACAGCAATTGATTATAGATCTTTCCTCTTCCCTTTAAATGAAGCTGTAATCAGGAGCCTAATATAGAAGAATAAAAGCTGATTGATCCAGAGATAGTCTGCTCATAAAAGTTGGCTCTAAACTCTTTAAGCATATAGGCAAACAAAATAAGTCTCTGGGTGGGATAGAGTAAATAGTTGAGAGTTAACAACTTCCTTTTGAACCAGTAGTTTTGTGAGCATGAAATTAAAGCGAGGGCCCTTCCAAAGGGAAGGAGCAGTTTATTAAAAAAAATAATAATAAATAAATAAAAAAGAAGCCCACCCAACTGTTGTGGTGGACATTGCACTAGCACAGCGGAGCAATGCCTGAGCTGAAAGCCCTTAAGCCCTAGCTGCTGGCTGTCTGCCCTCCCATGGAACCCTGCACAGCTCTGCCAGGGAGTGTCCTCAGGCTGCCTGCCTGACAGAGAAGGAGCTGGTTCTTGTAGTTTATGGCTCCCAGAGATCCTCCCCTGAGTCTCCTGCCAGTAGTTTGACAATGCATCTCAGTCTCCCTGGCTATTTGGGATTAAAGTTCTGATCACATAATACAGAGGGAGTAGGAATAGTTATGAACCTGCTGCCTGTGGAACTAACGGGGCGCTTTGGCACACTCCAGTTTGGGACAGAAGAGATGGACATTGCTGTTTCTGTTCTCCAACATGGAAATTCAGTTCCCTGAAACATATACATGCTTTTATACTCTTCTTTGATCCTCACAAGCCTTTTAAGTAAGCTGTCTAATGAGTTTCATTTTCCTTGCAGAAAAACTGACTTTTAGAGATGCCCGGGTCCTCACAGCGAGGATGTGGTATGGCTATGACTCTAATCCAGACAGTTTGACCCAAAGGTTTGTTATTTCCACCATTACACTATAAGGCATGTCAGAATTTTTGAAATACCTTTGGACTTGAAATTCAGGTATGGTGCAGTATCTAGTCTCCTGGACTCACCTTTGAGATAGGATGAATCTCCAATTTCAAAGCATAAAAAAGCTACTTACCAAGTCTGCTAGAGCCCACACTAGGACCAGAGTGACTGCAATCCTCCCTCTTGCAGAGCCAGCACCAGAAGTGAGCTTTCCAAACTGCGCCTCCCCTGGAGTCTACTTATGGTAGAGTCGTCACCCAGGGATCTCTGGGAAATGTAGGTGTGGGGCCTCAGGTTGGCCTTGTGTTCCTCCTTCCCAAATCAATTCATTGGAGAAGATTAAAGAGCTTTATTACATGATGAGCCCCAGCCACAGGCTATGAGAAATATGTCCTGTGTTTGACACAGTTCCTGCTTTTAAGGAACAGGAAGCAAGATTTTCCAGCCAAATAGGTCAAACTGGTTCTAGAAACTTCAGAGGAAGTTGGGGAGGTGGTTTTGGTGGGAATGATAACTTTGGTAGTGGGGGAAAGTATGGAATCCAGGGCAGAGTAATATGGGGTTTTGAGTGGGTCCAGGAAAAGCAGATCCATTAAGCTAGAGGAGGCAGAAAATAGATGTTTTAAATTACTCTCCTTGGATTATGCTACTGTTTTGTCATCATTTTCCATGCGGCCCCTCAGGTTCCTATTCTTTTTTTTTTTTTCCCCTCTTCCATCCTCAGTCCCACTCATCCCTCCCTGCTCCACAAGGCCCTGTATAAGGTGATTGAAATGACTCTGCATGGTATGAGTGTGATGTGTCTACAGTAGTGTGGTAGAGTTTCTGCTTGGGTTTTTAATTCACATTAATGAGATTGCTCTATAACTCTTGCTGTTACTTATGAATTTCCCCCTATACTATTTTTAAAAATCTGTCTATTATTGCTTCATGCCCTCTTTGGGGCACAAAGCTCTGGTGTCCTGCTGCATGGACTTGGGAGGCCTTTCTCTTGTCCTATGCTTGGGGAGGCTAGATGAATATACAACTTAGTGCTCCCAGGAGCACCACTCAGCCCTGGCTGATGAGAGTTGAAGGATAAATACCCCCGAGTTCTACCTGCTTAGGTGAGACTGCTCTGGGGCATGAACAACACTGCTGCCCCTCCCACAGTCGTCATGGCTAAGTCAGTCTCCCAAAGAGCTGGATCCGCTGCAGCTCTGTACCAGAAGTTTGAGCTTTGAAACAACCCATGAGAGTCTATGGAGCCTTTCTGATGGGAGATCCAAACACCAAGTGCTCCAGAGGCTTTGGGTTGGTCATGTGTGCTGTTTTGGAGGAGGTAGATGCAGCCACGAATTCAAGGCCACAGGAGGGGGTGGAAGAGTTGTGGAACCAAAGAGAAGATTCTCAAAGGCCTGGTGCCCACTTAACTGTGAAAAGGATTTTTGTTGGTGGCATCAAAGAAGACACTGAAGAACATTACCTAAGAGATTATTTTGAACAGTATGGGAAAATTGAAGTGATTGAAATCATTACTGACAGGGGCAGTGGCAAAAAGAAAGACTTAGCTTTTGTAACCCTTGATGACCGTAACTCTGTATACAAGGTTGTCATTCAGAAATACCATACTGTGAACGGCCACCACTGTGAAGTAAGAAGAGCCCTGCCTAAGCAAGAGATGAGATGGCTAGTGCTTCATCCAGCCAAAGAGATCAACGTGGTTCTAGAAACTTTGGAGGAAGTTGGGGAGGTGGTTTTGGTGGGAATGAGAACTTTGTTCGTGGGGGAAACTTCAGTGGTCAAGGTAGCTTTTGTGGCAGCCATGATGGTGGTGGATTTGGTAGTAGTGGGGATGGCTACCATGGGTTTGATAATGATGGTGGTTATGGAAGATGTAACACTGGTTATTCTGGAGGAAGCAGAACATGTGGAAGTGCTGCACAGGGTTATGGAATCCAGGGCAGTGGCTATGGCGAGAGTGGCAATTGTGACTGCTATCACCCTGGGGGAGGCAGAGGCAGGTTTGGCAGTGGTGGTGGACACAATTTTGTAGGTGGCAGAAGCTACAAGGATTTTGGAAATTACAATGAACAATCTTCAAATTTTGGACCCATGAAAGGAGGAAGCTTTATCGACTGATTTATCCCCTCTATGCCCTCTTCCACCTCCACCATCTCCCTTCACCCTTGGAATCACCACACTGTTGTCTATGTCCATGAGTTCTCTTCCTTTTCGTTTTTTTTCCCTTCTTTGCTCAATTCCTCTCTTCCACACTCCCCTCCCCCTCAAACACAAGCTGTCTGCCTGCTCTCTATGAGTCTGTCTCTATTTTGCTTGGTAGTTCAGTTTGTTCATTAAATTGAAAGGAGGAAACTTTGGCAGCAGAAGCTCTGGCCCTTATGGTGGTGGAAGCCTATACTTTGCCAAACCATGAAACCAAGGTGGCTATGGCGGTTCCAGCAGCAGCAGTACCTATAGCAGTGGTAGAAGGTTTTAATTACTGCCAGGAAACAAATTTTAGCAGGGGAGGAGAGCCAGAGACATTACAGGGAAGGTACAGGTTACAATAGATTTGTGAACTCAGCCAAGCACAGTGGTGGCAGTGCCTAGCTGCTACCAAGAAAACATGTCTTAGGCAATACTCATGTGAATGGGCCAAAGACTTGAGGACTACATTTGTGACTAATTAATTATATAACAGGTTATTTTAGTTCCTGTTTTCTGGAAAATGTAAAACATTCCAACAAAGGGTTTTAATGTAGATTTTTGTTTTGCACCCATGCTATTGATTGCTAAATAATAGTCTGATCATGAGAGTTAATAAATGTCTTTTCTAGCTTGTGCTGTGTAAAGTGAGTCTGCTCTGAAGCCATCATGGTAAATTACCCAACCAGGTGATGTTCGAATTCCTTTAGGGTGTCAGGCTCTTCCATGCTTCTATCTCTCTGGGTCTATTTTGTTCATTAATTGCGATTATATGTCTTTTTATATTTAAATATATTTTTAAACATCAATGATGAGAGAGAACCATTGATCAGCTGCCTCCTGCTTGCCCCCTTCCAGGGATTGAGCCTGCGATCCGAGCATGTGTCCTTGACAGAATCAAACTTGGGACCCTTTGGTCCACAGGCCAATAATCTGTTTATTGAGCCAAAGCAGCTAGGGCTAGATTTTATATCTTTTTATTAGTGTATTTGGATTAATATCTACCATATTTTTACTGTTTTCTGTTGGTGGCATTTTTTCCCCTGCATTTTCTGCCTTCTTAGTTTTAGTAGAACATCTTAGGATTCCATGTCTCTCTTCTCTTAGCTTATCAATTGTACTTATTTTTAAAATGTTTGCATTACTTGCCCAAGAGTTTGCAGCATACATTCACAACTAATCTGGTAATACTTCATGTATAATGCAGATATTTTATAATACTGTATAGTATTCCAAATCCTCCTTCACATCCTTCATCATATTTGTCATTCATTTCACTTACCAATTAGCCATAATCACACAATACATTGTTCCTATTATTATTTTGAACAAATTGTTATCTATTAGATAAATTAAGAATAAGAAAGGTACAAGTCCTTTTTTAAGAGAGAGGATTGAACTTTTCTCCTTTTATAAAAATGTTTTATTGATTTGAGGGAGAAAGGAAGGAAGAGAGATATAGAAACATTGATGAGAGAGAAATATCTACACCCCACACTGGGGATTGAGCCTGCAACCCAGGCATGTGCCTGACTAGGAATCCAACCAGTGACTTTTTGGTTCATGGGTTGATAGATGCTCAACTATTGAGCCACACCAAGAAGACTCTTTCAACACTTCAAATATTTCTCTTTTTTGCTTGCAGGGTTTTCGAAAAGAAATTTAATATAATGCTTCTTGTTGTTCTATATGAAAAATATGTTTTCCCCTCTAGATTCTTTCTAGATTTTCTCTTTGATTCTGCTTTTCTATAGTTTTAATATGATATTCCTAGGTGTCCATTTTGGGCTATTTATTATATGTGGTAATGTGGTACTCTGAGTTTCCTGGATCAGAGAACACCACACCATGACCAAATGGGATTTATTCCCAGGATGCAAGATTGGTCCAATATCCACAAATCAATTAACATGATATACCACATGAAAATGAAGGAAAAAATTATGTCATCAGATCAATAGATGCAGAAAAATAATTTGATAAAATCTAGCATCCATTTATGATAAAAATTATCAGCAAAGTGAGGAGAGAGGCAATATATCTCAACATAGTGAAAGCTATATATGGCAAACCATAGCTAAAATCATGCTCAACAGTAAAAAGCTAAAAACTTTTTCTTTAAGATCAGTAACAAAACAAAAATTCCACTCTCACTTTTTCCAGACAAGAAATGAAATACATCCATATTGGAATGGAAGAAGTAAAACTGTCATGTACAGATGACATGATACTATATACTAATTCTAGAAGAAAAAATACGAACAATAAGTAGTCAATAAATACATATCTATCAATAATTGAATCTAAAAATCAAAATAAAGAAACAGGGAATCTAATGAACAAAATAAGCTAATGAATAAAATAGAACAGGGTCAGGGAAACAAAATAAACTGAGAAGTGGGGAGGGAGGTGGAAAGAGATTAAAAAACTTATATGCATATGTGCATTACCCATGGACACAGATAATAAATAGGGTTATGAAGGACTGGGGCGGGGTGGGAATCCGGGTAGAGGGGGGCAATAGGAGAGGAGTAAGGGGAGCAATATCTGTAATATTCTCAATAATAAAGAGATTTAAAATAAGAAAGAAAGAAAATTAAGAAACAGTCTCATTTGCAATTGTATCAAAAAGAATAAAATACCTAGGAATAAATTTAAATAAGGCTAAAGACCTGTACTAAAAAAACTATAACATTGCTGAAAGAAATCAATAAAGACACAAAATAAATGTAAAGATCTACCATGGTCATGGATTGGAAGAATTCACGTTGTTAAAATGTCCATATTAACCAAAGCGATTTGCAGATTCAAAGCAATTCTTATCAAAATACCAATGGCATTTTTCACAGAATTATAAACTTACATGATCTTTATGTTTAAAAGTCTACTTCATCTTATCATTGTCAGCATATTTATTTAAATATTTTAGATTTTTCTTTATGATTTCACCTTTACAGGTAATGTTTTGATCTATCTGGGAATTTATTTTGGCTCTCACCCTATTCCCCAAATGGC